TTTTTACCAGGGAAATATCGGGAACATTTAACCGAAAATTTCTCTGATTTCTCTTCAGATTTCATTCAAAAATTAGACATATTTTTAACAAGAATCGCGCAGGTACATTCTTGTAGAAAATTAGACTGCTTGAGTCAATTTTGCAACCTTGGAATGAAGTTACGTTCCTTCATCCTGGAAACTACTTTACCCTGTTTATCCTCTGTATGGTTCCATTCTTTGTTCAACGTTTGGAGGATTTCAGCTTTTTCTCCTTGGTCTCAAGTCGGTATTCTCATATTAGCGCTCTCATGCGTGTTGTTCGATTCGTGATCAACAAATTCTACCGCGCATTTTGATAGTGAAAGTTATGGACCGTCATTAATATGTACGGATGAGTCGCCGACGAAATACTGGCGTGTACCTAAACTTTTGAACTCTTGACTCCTCCTGCAGGCCATGATTTACGAGCTAAACATGGCACCGATATATTTCGTGCTTCCAATTCCTGTTTTCGTAAAATCCAGGAAGTGTATTCAAAAATTAAAACTTTGTAATTGTTATTAGCCCCTCTTTTAGTTGCGTAATAGGTACTTTAAGGCTTCACACTGGTTTGGAGTCTGAAGAAGCTATGAAAGAATAGTTGGGAAAGCAATGTACCTCTACAGCCTTCGATGGAGTTGCTGTAATCCGGAAAGCAAAAAAGTTATGCGGAAAAATGCTAAAAAATGATAGTTAAAACTGGTAAAAAAATCAAGGAATCTGCGGTGAATTCCATGGAAAGTCGAACTTTCAAAATATTTACCAACTCAAGTTTAACAACGCGGAATGGACCGAGAGACCGGGTAAAATATTAAATATTAATGGATCGTTTTTGATCGTGGTTCGAAGTCTCGTTCGGTTCAAATCAATAGAACAAACCTCAAACAGAAGTTCTAGGATTTAAGTTCAGAGGATAAATCGTCGAAAAATATTTGCCGACCTTATAATTCGTCCTGAATGATTAATATGACCTTTTAAGTTTTTTGGAAAGGGACAATCCTCGTACGCAAATCTCCATCATATTTGATTTTGGACATTTAAAGTGTTTTGCGAGAAAGTTTGAAGAGGCAGCAACTGCCGTGGCGCTTTAAATCTTCCTCGGTCTAATGGTCCATTGCGGTTACAGAGGTACGAAACATCGAGTAGTTGCCCCCGGGGTCATAGCCTCTTCTGTGAAATTCTGACAGCTTTGACCGCTCGGACTCGTTCTCATCCTTGCAGGAAGCCATTGCTTGACCTTCTGAAGCTTTTAATCTTACGCGTGTTCAATTCCTACTCGGTAATATTGTTAGTCTCCGTATTCCGCAGCTGGTGCGGGAAAATCTCTTGACGGCCTCTTGGGACCTTACGTTAAGATAATAACCGTCATTTACGTCATTAGAGGAAGTTCCGATAGCTGTTGAAGTCCTGTAAAATTAGGAAATAAGTTGGAAGAAAATATCCGACGGCTGAGCTTCGGGATCAAACACAAACATTTTTTTTAAGGTTATTTCAAAAAATATTCTGAAAAGAAGGTGTCAAAACTGAGGATTGTATAAAAATGAAGAACAGCTTTCGATTATTTAGCATAGGTTTAAATGGAGGAAATCCGGTGTTGCCAAATTGCTGGATCCGACCCTGGTTGTCAGAGAGATAAAGTTAACGCATAATAGATTTATGTAACCGTTTCGTGATTTCAAAGTCCACCCGTACAAAAGGAAACGTAAAACTCTTACTAAAGCGACAAAAGTGACTTTAAATTCTTTTTACGAGCACGTGCCTGCATACGAACACGGTTACCTTGCACGCTAACTTTGCATATCTTTCCATCTTTCCCAAACGTGAATGCTGCGGCCATGCTAGGGAAAAACACCGTATGTACATTCGAATGTTGCCAAATTTAGCACCAGAGAGTACTTAATTTTAAGGGAAAATATGGATATTTGCTAGCGGAATTTTTAATTACACCTGATTAAATTATGACGGAAATTATCGGACAAATCCTGACAGAAAATTTGAAAAAAATTTCAGAAAATTAATCCCTTTTTTCTCCAACAAATTTGGCAACCTCCGTATGTGGATACGACGTTTTTCCTTCAACGGTAGAACAGGACTCTATAAATTCGTAGCCTTGCCATCAAAATAACGTAACTAAGCCATTAGATGAGCTCTGTTGTGATCACGTTTCCATACTCTTGGGGGCCCGCGTGAGAGGAGGAGCTTTTGCGCTTTTACAAGTTGTGGTATGAATTAAGATATTCTTGTCTTCCTGAAGAGCTATAAAAATGTATGTCCGTTGCGGTTATCATCTAAACCCTGCGCTACAGTCACATAACGCCTCCTCGTCGCACAACGGGGCCAGCAAATTTGGTATGGTTGTTTTGCGTTACAATATGGAAATTTTATCTTCCACGTTTCTGTGTAGTTTTTATAAAAGGGCTCAGCGATTTTTCAACCTAAAAAAACTGAAGATCAGTAATTGGTTAGAATGTTAAAAATCTGAGGAACCTTAAATTGCGCATATCGCTCAATTTGTTCGTCTTACAACTTTTATTCAGTTGTCTGGAAGATTTTTTTGACGCTGTGAATTGTGGAATAGTTGTTTGTATACTACAGATAACATGAATGAGTTTTGATTCTTCGAGGATTTAGTTACAACTTTCCTATAATTTCATATACGAGGGGTAGAAAGACACTCGACGGAAGTCGTAGAAATCCGTGCTCGTTTCTGATTGGTTCCGGATGATATCATTCAGTTCGGCGCGAAACCAGGGCGTTTTAAGTTTGCGGGCAATTTGCGCTTTTGGAACTGCCTGTTTCTCGGTTTCTGAGTTATTTTTTTGCGTTTTAATGTGCACATCGTTTTCTTCGCGTAATTTTGTACCTTCGGAAAAATGCACTTACAGTGCTGCGATTTCCCGGCATCATATTGCTAATTTCGGAACTTTTCACATAATCGGAACTCTTCCAGAATCTTCGAAATCCGCGGCCTATTCAGCTATTTTCGAAATTTTCTCGAAATTTTGGAGTTTTTCTTTACTTTGACCATTTATAGGATCGAATTAAATGATACTTTTCTTTTTAAATCAAATTCGACAAATATTTTGAAGTCCGGGCGTATTTCGGAATTTTTTTCCGGAACTCTGGGAAATCCGAATAAATTCCGGAAAACCCGGGAATCTCTTGTGAAATAAAATGGCAGCTCTGATCGTAAGTGAAAATCCATCTCTGTTTTAGTGTCCCACTGTGCGGCAGTGCGGTCCTTGTCGCGGTGTGAGCGTAGGTGCGAAAAATGTAAATGGACTCGCATACGACACGGGTACGAAGTTGGATTGCGGGGCGCTTATGAAAGTCGAGCTTAATTAAGCCGTTAGCGTTAGCATAACGCTCGCGCTCGGACCATTGGTACCATTGGTGGCGGGTAACGAGCTGAGAACGAGTCTGATATCGTGGGAAACGGCCCCAGCCCCGGCCGAGGTTCCTTGTCGATCCTCGAGTTTGGACCGATCCGAATGTTGTTTTCCAGGGGTGTCGCAGTGGCGTGGCGTGCTTTGCGATTTATCGATTGTTGTGCCATTTAAACCCATGGAAAAGGATCGATAAACCGGGTGTTCCCAACAAACATCATAATGATCGATTCTTTACCATAGCTTCAAATGGGGAAATATCGATAATCGATCATTCATAATGGCGTCAGGACTGCTCGGGCAAGGGATTACTCGTCAGGAGAGTATTGGTCGCTTTGCTTTTGTGGTGTTGCTCGTTGTGAATCCTGCCTGATAATATGTATTCATCGGGTATCTGAGGCAGTCTCAGCTATTCTTGAAAGTCGGTAGCACTGTTTATACTTTGTAGAAATTTCCTCAAAAGTGCCCCTGATCAAAGCTCCACTGACCCTTCTTCAAATTTTTGGGATAGTCATCGAATCAGAATTGGACGTATTTCTACCAAACAGACCTATGTGGCGATGACAAATGTGGGGTGTGCTCGTGGAAGCTGGATAAGAAGCAATGTGGTCAGTGGGCGTGGTTCCTTTTGAAGAATTGGCAAAGCGGGATATTGCATTCTATCAAACAGACCTATGTGCAACTGAATGCGGAACTCATGAGCCGCGGGCATGGCAAGAGAGCGTTGTGGACAGGGCTCATGAGTTAATGAGCACGACTACCGCAACCACGAGGAACGTGACGCGGCGTCCTCCTCCGTTGACGTCACTGGCGCACAATTATTCTCATTCACTCTTACGCAAAGAGACTAACGAGCACACCCCATATTTCTCACTTCCACATAGGTCTCTTTGGTAGAACTACGTCCAATTAAGAATCGGTCGTTTGTTTTTGTGGCGTTGAGGAATTTAGCGTGTATAATAATCAAAGTCCTTTTGATCGAATTTCTTCAACTAGAGGTTTTTAGGAACATGATGATATAACTCTTTATCTGACGTTTATTTAACGCCCCACCAGGGGCATTGGTAGGCTTTTTAACAGGAAATAAAATATCATAGACTCAAAAGTTCCAATGTTACTTCCAGAGACAAACAGATACTCTGCAGAAAAAGCTCCGAGGGTGGCAGGTGGAAATTTCTATCTCGGAGTATCATCTATCAACTCTAGAGACTAAAGACATTCTAGTGACCTCGCACTGATATTTCTCTAATAGAGTTAAAGCTACTTTTGGGAGTCAGCGCTCAAAATCAGATTCACCTATCAATGATGGATGAGAAAAAAGTTCAGCGATTGGCTTAGCAATCTCAATCTAATTTGCGAAAACTTGCCCAGCAAAGTGCTCACCCTGAGTTTCATCAGTCATCATTAGGCGAATTTCATCAATTTTTGCTCTACAAGTTTCTCATAAATTACCGTTAGGCAAAAAATAGCGTTGACTTCTGGACTTAACGTTTGCCTCACACGAATGAACTGCTGAAGTTATCAGTGCGGGGTCTCCAGAATACAATTTTACTGTTCTCGTGTTACCTCCAGCTTTGCTCCGTTCAAAATGTAACCCTAAAAGTTGGTCATTATCATTCGAAGAAGAAAAACAGAATTGACTCGGTAGTTGGTGAAATGTAAACTAAGACTTTCCGTGAAGTTTTTATCTCGGAACCCACGATGGCGTACGTCAACAAGGAAGAGGAACCCGTTTCCTTGCTCTCGGTCCAGTCAATGGATTATTGGGATTACTCTCTCGAACTCGAGTGTCTTCGAGGTCCAGAAGGTAAGCATCTCCGTTTTTTTTAACGCATGTTGCAGGTTTTACCGTCTTCAGTGAAAAAAAGTACCGAGAATTGTCTGTACAATTACCGGGAATTTTTGGTCCTCCTACGAATAAATACCTGACATTGCCAAGAATTTTCCCTGTAATTAATTTGATTATGTAACTATTAATTTTAGCAAATTTTGATAACTACCGTTATCCTGGTGCTTTCATCACCTTTCACCTGTAAATGTTCCGTCTTTTAACCGAAGTCGGCTTTATCACCGAATTCTCAAATATGAATACGGATAGTTCAACTGCATTTAGCAGAAAGGAACCAAGCTATTACCAAATTTAATTGAGCAATTCCATTTTTTCCATAATAACGGTTGTGTGGATTTTGTTGATGATTGTAGGGAATTTTCTGCATAGCACGAAGCGAATTCCTTAACATTTTCAAAGGCATCTACACAAACATTATCTTAAAAAAATTAAATTGCCTTGTTGAATTTGTCAATAGCTAATGTGGCTTGGTTCCTTTCTACTAAACGCAGTCCAGTTGTAGGTTCGCTTCGCGTGTAAAAAAGAAAGTGAGAGTACCTGCAATTTTTTGCTTATGCAACGCGGGCATCCCTCGAACACGAATAGTTGCATGCAGGCGTTAGAAGGCTCTCTTTAGGAGGACATCACACGGGGAAAAAAACTTCGTGCATGGGACCCAAAGTTGAGGTCATATGGATCTCTGAAGTTTTCGGATCATGCATCCAAAAACTTGAGGTTCAACCGCCGAGGTTCGGGTCAGACATCTGAAGCTCTCGGTATGTATCGGAGTACTTCAGGTGTGTGACCTGAACCCTTCGGTATATACCGAAGTACCTCAGAAGTCTGACCTGAACTTGGGCAGTTGGACCTCAAGTTTTCGGATGCGTGATCCGAAAACTTCAGAGATCCATATGACCTCAACTTTGGGTCCCATGCACGAAGTTTTTTTCTCCGTGCAGAGGAAGCAAGGCAGCGTGAAGTGCAGTCAAGCTAACTGCTGTCAATCCTATCCCAACGACGCGCATAATTTGGCGGCAGCGCTCCTGGACGCGATGAACTTAACAATAAGTGCATTTTTACGCACGTCGCGTCGCGAGCGGTTACGTTAAAAGCGAGATTAGCCGCAATCGAAACGCAAGCCGGGAAGGGTCGATGTTTTCAGCGTTTGATGTTTTGATAAATGCTTCGATTCACCGGGGCCACTTTCCTTATTCGGTCATTCCTGGTCCCCTCGAGTGTCGACCTATTCTCCGATGCAGACGTTGCACCATCCGTGCAGTGCAGTCATTGTCTCGCCAATTCGTCCGGTGTATGCACTGTGCAGTGTCCCCTCGCGCCAAACGAGGCGCTGCGGAAAGTGAAGGACGGAACATCTCGTCGCCCGTCTGACATAAAAACGTAATTACAATTTGAGATGAACCCTGTTATTGGTATCAATCAATACTTTCCCAGGCTCATCCCAAAATGTAAGTACGCCTTTTTGTCAACCAAGCGATGACTTGATGAGACAGGTCGTGACGTCAGCTTTGGGATTCTCCGCTCAGATGTGTTCTTTAACTCAGCTGAATACAGGGTCGCCACCGACAGGTCAGGGAACATCCACTGCAGGAAAAAACACATTGGATCTAGAGTCCAGACTCTTAAAAACATCGACAAGAAAAAATACTCTTGATTCAATCAGATTTAAGCTTAAATCAAGAACCAAGCCTCTTAATTTGAGCGAATTTCCTTTTGATATAAGCTCAAATCTGATTGAATCAAGAGTCCTTATTCTTGGCAATGTTTTCAAGAGTCTGGACTCTAGATCCAATGTGTTCTTTTTTCCAGTGTCCGGAAAACCGGGGAATGTCAGGGAATTTTGAAAAGTCACGGAAAACCTGGAAATGACAGAGAAAATGACGAAAATGTCATGGAAAAATTGTCAAGTCCTCTTTATTTCATTTCTAGAATAGGTTTGACGTTTTGAACAACAAATGTTGCCCGGAATCTATACTTCCAAGCATGTATTTTTAAGCATCTGCCGTATCCTTAATTTTCCAGGAATTGTACCAAAATGTGACTGAGAAATTAGGGAAATGTTAGGGAATTTAATTTTCCAATTTCTGCGGAAACCCTGAAAATAGGCTCGTTCAGCGAAAGCTCTTTAGGCAAATTAATCAATTTTCATAGAATTTTAGAGCACTTAATGCCTCGAATTGTAAGTTCGTGAAAATTTATATGAAACAGAGAAAATTTGAAAACGGCTGAAAGCTCATTTGTCGTTCTTCCTTAGCACGACAGTTTAGTCTCAGTATCCAATGATTCCAATTTACTCCGTCATCAGGTTTTTTTTAATCAGTGCTAGTGACAGCGCGCAATGCCAGAATGCGCGTGTAACACGCATTACGAAAGCAGCAGATTTACTCAAAGAAAAAAATCGACACGCCCAAAACGATTTAACCCGGTCTTTTACATCGCGTTAAGCGCTTCTTTGTTTGTGCAGCCATCACTAATGAAGTACCGATCCGAGTTCGAGGGGTTTAACGTCCCAGTTGCAATCAAAGTTGAGAAACCCGAGGCAACGAACTCGGCGCAATGACCAAATCTTGGTTTACTTCACAATGCACCAGCACAAAAAAACCTGTCGGAACTTTGTCGAAGCTCGTCAAAGATGAGTTAAGCAGGTAGCCCCAGGCCCCATCCAAATTTATATTGCTGTGCTAAGGAAGAACGCCTTATGAGCCTTCCGACTTTGCCATATTTTCTCAAGTAAAAACCGAATTTACAGGGAAATTTTTGGATGTTTTATTTCAAAATTTTCGGGAATTTTTTTCGCAGTTTAATCGAAAACATGAAATTATTGCGAGAAAAAATATGCATAGGTCGCTGGAAAACAGTCAAATCAGGCATTTTGTCAAAATGCTCGGGCAAATAGTCAAGTATTCATACTTAGCCTAAAATTCTGATTAATTCGCTAACTGTATAAAAAATGATTCTCTGATCATGTGGGGAAGAACTCTCTATACATAAGTTCTTTTAGTACTAAATGCACATTGTCTCAAAATATGCAGCATTATACAAAGTAAGAGTTTTCACAACATAAATTGAGGCGGTTGAAGAAATATGAAGAGCATTTTTGAACGGGAAATACAAAGGCATTAAGCACTTGAATGGATTTTTAGTCTCAAAATATTGAAAATTCGAGAGATCTTTGTGAAAACATAAAAATTCGCTTCACCTCTAGGAATTTGACTATCCTCCAACACATGCGATAAAAAATGCCTGATTTGACCACTTGCCCGCGTTTGCCACTCGTTTGCGGTGTCTGAAAATCTCCGCCTTTATTTTATTTTTTTAAAGGAGAACAAATTGAAATCATTCCTTGAAGTTTTTGCAGAATTTTCTTCGCACAGAGAGACAAATCACGGCAGTTTTAAGGAATTGCCATTAAGTAGTTTTCCGTTTAAAAAATAAAGAATGACAGGACGTCTACGACGTCGCAAACCGAGTTTTGTGATTGCCGACTTACACCGTCGATATATTGTTTTAAAAATTAATGTAATATATCCGGGAAGTTTTGGCAACGTCTGAAGGCTCATACGGCGTTTTTCCTTAGCACGTTGGTGTTCGCATCAGGCATCGTCCAGTCCATTACCCCGCTGTCCAATTACGCCATAGTTTCGCCCCGAAAAAAGGGAAAACGAGACAAAAAGAATCGAGAGTAATTACTGTAGATGAGTTTCAAGTTTGGAGGAAAGTTGTCGGCCCGGGTCGCCTTGAATTGTGAAATATGCGCTCGACGGCTATTTTTAGGCAAAATTGGCCATTATTCCGTATCGCCCCCGATGGTGGGTGAGTGCCCGTCATAATTTGCACTTTCGAGGCGTAGACCTTGCGCGTGGTAACCGGATGAGGTGATAAATTTCGCGGAAACTAAGAATTCCATATTTTACGAATAAACAACAAGAACAATTTGAACAGCGGGTAACAAGGCTAATTTTCACATAAATACCACTGAAACGAAAAATTAGCTTTCCTCAGTTGGATACAAACAGTAAAAAAAATTTAAAATCTAAAAACTTAATACTTGGCTGTATCTTTCAAAGCAAGAAAAATGTTGTTATGTAAACTAAGTTTCTAGATTTTAATTTTTTTTTAATGTTTTTATCCAACTGAGGAAGGCTGAGTTTTCAGCCGATACGTTTTCGTAATATTTGCCCTCCCAAAATCACGCTTTCGAAAAAATCTCCTTCAAAGCTTTAGTGCAAAGAAGAAACGCATAGTGTCAAAATCGCACGGAAAAAAATGAAATCGCTGGTTTGACGAATCCAATAAAAAACAATTTAAAAAGCGGGTAACATGGCTAAAATTTCACACACACAAAACCAAAACGTTTCGGCTGAAAATTCAGCCATCCTCATTTGGATAAATCAAAAATAAAAATGGTTAAAAATCTAAAATAGTACCTGATAAGTACCTTTGAATTGAGAATGTTGTTATTATGACAGAGATTCATGTCTTGCACAGGGTTTAATGTGCCTTTTTAACTTGTGAATTTAATGGTTTTAATTGTGTTTAACGAATCCGTAGCTTAAAAAAAGTGTCCGTTGTTTTTCAATGTAGATTTTACGATAAAAAAATGCTAATTTCACCTCCCCCGTAGTTAAATCAGGAAACCAATATTTTCAGGGCAACCTCTTTTTCTCGTTTTTGCAGTTGTGATGATTTTTTTTTACTCTCGTGTGGTATCCGACAACCGCGCGCGCAAACTGGGTGATTTTTTGTGTTTCAAGTCGTTGACGCAACGAGAATCGACGGCGTAAAGTTCACTGACCATCTTCAAAAGTTCGCGTGGACTGGGGCCGGCGACGGAGTAGGTCGGCTAAGTACCAGTCGCGCGGCGATAATTAATCCGAAAGTGAACGCTTTTGGGAATCGCGGCTCCGAGGAGGATTACTCCACCGTACGAAAAGGGAAAAAAGGTGAAAGTACTCTTATTA